CAGGGAGCCCGATGCGGGACTCGATCCAGGGACTCCAGGATCATGACCTGAGCCAAAGGCAGTCGCTTAACCAACTGAGCCACCCAGGCGCCCCCTCATCATCGTTCTATTGCAACCACCTCCTACCTGCTCTTCCTGCCATTGGACACACTTTTACCAGGCAGTCAGCCAACAGAGTGTGATCTTTTTAAAACAACAACAACAAAACCTTACTATTTTCCTGACAAAAATTTTGAGTTTGCCCAATGTACTAGATAAAGTTCAACTACCTGGGCTTGGCACACAAGACCCTCCAGAGGATTCTCTCTGCTTCCTCAAACACATCTCTTGCCACTCATTCAACACTCCTTCCCCTGCACCAGTCAAACTGAACCCCCTGAAGTTCTCAAACATGCCATTATGGTCCCCATCTGCATGCCTTTGCATATGCTTGTCCCTCTGGCTGGAAGAGCACACTCCTAAACCTCCATCAAGCCTCAGCTCAGGCACTGAATCCTTGGAAAAGCCTCTTCACTAACCCTGTTTGACAGACTCCTGAGTATTCCCACTGTACCTTGTGTGCTACTTTACACACTGAAAGGTATTTACTTCTGTTCACATCTGTATCCTTGCTAGACTGTAAGCAGCTTGAGGTGAGGACCCATGCCTTACACATCTCTATATTCCCCATGCTTGGTACATAGTAGGTGCTCAGTAATTATTGCTTAGATGGTGCAATCATAGGTGGATTATTTTTTATTTTGTTCAGAATAATCTTTGATGATATTATTCTGTTTCTGACCATCATAAAAAGAACAGGGCTTAACGACTGATCCACCCAGGTGCCCCTAAATACAAGTCTCTTATCTCATGTTTGCATCAGATAAGATGCAGAAGCAGAACTTGAGAAGCTGATCCTAAAATCCGTATGGTAATTAAAGGGATCTGGAATAAGCAAAATAATTTTTACAGATAAGAACAAAGTTGGAGGACTCATATTTTCTGATTTCAAACTTAATACAAAGCTGCAGTAATTAAGAGTGTGGTGCTACCATAAGGACAGACACATAAATCAATGGAATAAAACTGAGAGTCCAGAAATAAACCTATATATACATCTATGGTCAATTGATTTTCAATAAGGGTGCCAAGACTATTCAAAGGGAAAGAACAGTCTTTTCAACAAAACATGCTGGCACAACTGGATGGCCACTTGCAAAAGAATGAAGTTGGACCCCATCCTCACACCATTCACAAAAATCAACTCAAAATGAATCATAGAGCTAAATGTAAGAGTTAAAACTATAAAATTTTAGTAGAAAATATAGGGGTAAATCTTCATGAGGTTGAGTTAGGCAAAGCCTGCTTACTAAAAGCACAAGCAACTAAAGAAAAAATAAACTTGTGGCGCCTGGGTGGCTCAGTTGGTTAAGTGTCTGCCTTCGGCTCAGGTCATGATCCTGGGGTCCTGGGCTCAAGCCCTGCAGTGGGCTCCCTGCTCAGTGGGAAGTCTGCTTCTCCCTCTGCCCCTCCCCTGCTCATGCTCTCTCTCTCTCTCTCTCTCAAATAAATAAATAAAATCTTAAAAAACAGAACAAAACACCATCAATAAAGTGAAAAGACAACCCAGAGAATGGGAGAAAATATTTGCAAATCATACATCAGATAAGAGACTTGTATTTAGGGGCACCTGGGTGGATCAGTCGTTAAGCATCTGCCTTCGGCTCAGGTCATGATCCCAGAGTCCTGGGATCGAGCCCCACATCAGGCTCCCTGCTCCACGGGAAGCCTGCTTCTCCCTCTCTCACTCTCCCTGCTTGTATTCCCTCTCTCGCTCTCTCTCTCTGTCAAATAAATAAATAAAAATCTTTAAAAAAAAAAAAAGAGAGACTTGTATTTAGAAAATATAAAGAACTCATATAACTCAATAATTAAAAGGCAAATTATCCAATTTTTTTTAAAAGGCAAAACTCCGAATATACATTTCTTGAAAGAAGATAGACAAATGACCAAGGAGGGCATAAAAAAAATGCTCAGTATCATTAACCATGCCAATCAGAGCCACAGTGAGATACTACTTCCCAAAGACTAAGATGGCTAGAATAAAAAAAAGACAGATAATAACAAGTGTTGGCAAGGACGTGGAGAAACTGGAACTCACACACTGCTGGGGGGAAGCAAAATGGTGCAGCCACTTTGGAAAATGGTCTCACAGTTCCTCAAAAGATTAAACGCAGAGTTACAATATGACCCAGCAATTCCACTTCTAGGTATTTCACTTCCCCCAGGAGAAATGAAAATGTATGATCATACAAAATCTTGCATGCGAATGTTGACAGCAGCATTGTTCCTAACAGTCAAAAAGTAGAAACAACCCAAATGTCAAACAACTGATGAACAGATAAATAAGATGTGGAATATCCATACAATGTGTTATTCAGCAATAGAAACACAAAGTACTGATACGTGCTATGACATGGATGAACCTTGAAAACATACTGATTGAAAGAAGCCAGTCACAAAAGAGCATACATTGTATGAAATGTTCAGAATGAGCAAATCTACAGAAAAAGAAAGGTATATAGTTGCCTGGGTCTGGGAGGTTAGGAGGAAAAGGGGAGTGACCGCTAATGGGTACAGGATTTCTTTTGAGATAATGAAATGCTCTAAAATTGATTGTGGTGATAGTTGCACACTTTTGTGACAATACGTAAAGCCACTGAATTGCACATTTTAAATGTGTGAATTTTGGGGCGCCTAGGTCGCTCAGTCGGTTGAGTGTCTGCCTTCAGCTCAGGTCATGATCTCAGGGTCCTGAGATCGAGCCCCACATCAGGCTCCCTGCTCAGTGGGGAGCCTGCTTCTCCCTCCCTCCCGCTCATGTGCTCTCTCTCTCACTCACTCTTTCTCTCAAATAAATAAAATCTTAAAAAAAATTTTTAAAAATGTGTGAATTTTGTTATATGATCATATCTCAATAAAGCTGATATACATATATTTACAAAATAAAAAACAGGAAAAATTATCTCAAGTCTGTATATTATCAGACACCTTCCTTTACTCTCATTCTTTGACCACACACATGTACACCTGGACATCAGAGACCTCCCCCCACCACACACACACACACGCACACACACACGAAATTCACAAGGGAATCTTAGAATTGGAAAGGACCTCAGAAGGCAGAAAGTTCCACCTTTCTCTCCTCCCTTTTCATTTCCCCAATTTCAGACAAGGAACCTGAGCCCAAATCTCACACAGGAATCAATGGCACCCACTGACTCCCTCCCCTCCCCCCATCATTTCCCCAGAAGAGTCTCAGCTCTGTGGGCATGGATGATGTCTAATTTTTTTCTGTATCCTCCATAGCACACGGCGCTGTGGTAAGAACAGAGCAGGCACTCAGGACACTTGCTTAATTGAAGAGGACATGCTTGAATATCCCTGAGGAAAAAGAAGGTGTCTCTAAGAGAAGAAAGCAATAGGGATGAAGAGTGATAAGAAAGAACATTAGGTCAAATCTACCCCATCTCATCGCACCTCCAAGGATGAACCTCAGAGCTGGAAGGGAAGAGAGAAAACACTTAGAGGGAACCCACATAGTGTCACTGTGTTCACTGAAAGTATCTAGTCCTTACTACAGCAGAAGTGACTAAGGTCTTGGGATATGCCCAAGGTAACCAGGCTGGGGAGGTCAGAGACAGAACCCATCCCTAAGTGTTCTGACACCCAACCCACAGTCCTCCTTGATCTCACCTTTCAATCCCATCTGACTAGCCTGGACCGTGGCTTGGAATGTCTGTGTCTTGTTCCTGTCTGGACCATCTCCGAAGTTCAAGGTGGTCAGTAAGCCCACGACTTGAGGCCCACGCCACTTCCCTGTGACTGTTCCATTCACCGGGCACAGGGTCAGCTGGCCAAAAGATCTCAAGAAAGAGACCCAGTCCTGTGTGCAAAAGAAAGGTGGAAGAGAGGTGAGAGATTAGCAGCATGAGCAGGCCTGTGCGAAAAGGACGAAGAAGGTACTCACCTGAGGGATGTCAGGGCTGCGCAAGCCAGTCCTGTGGGTGAGGAGGAAGCTGCCAAGGCCCAGGCCTGAAAGGCCAAGAAGCAGCAGGATCAAAGTGGCACAGACCAGAGGTGGGTGGTGGGCCAGACAGAGATGCAGGTTGTGCCCTGCCTGGCAGCTGCCCATGGAGAGGAGAGGGGTCCGGGCCTCCACCGAGAGCCTGCTGGAGGACAGGAAGGAAGAACTGGACAAGAGCCTGCCAGTCAGAAGGCACTTACCCATTTTATTCAAAGGGAAGTTAAAGCACTGAAAAGACAAGGGACTTGCCCAAGGCCACACAGCCAGTTAGTGGCAGCGCCAGAACAAGAATCCAGGGCTCTTAACTCCAAGTGTTCATCCCCATGCACCACCCAATAAATGTTTGCTGTATTTCATTTCTGAAGTAATCAAGGCAGAAGCGAAACAGAGCACACTGTGCTGGAAAGAGGAACCCAAAAGGAGAATTCTTAAGGGGAGAAATTCAGGAGGCAGCTGTTCTGGGGCTAGGGTTTGGCTGAAGAATGGTTCCATCCAATAGCCTAGACAAAGGAAGTGTCTGATGAAAAGAACTCCACTCTGGAGCAAAAACGGTTCAATCTGTATCCTCCTCTGCTACTCACTGGCTATGTGAGGAAAATCAGTTAACCTTTGGGAGCTTACGGATCCGTGAAAGAATGCCAAATAATGAGGACCAAAATGTGACAGAGAAAGCAGTTTTGCATAGTACTCGGCCTTGCAGGAACTCAACAATGTCCATTTCCTTTCCATTTCACTGTTTCATACTGATCTTTAAAACCAGGTGAAGCAAGGCAATAAATACTGTGGTGGAAACTGAGGTTCGGGGACTTTCACAAAGGCGTGGCAGGGCCAAGGTCTGAAACCCGTCTTCTGCTCCCAGGTAGAGTTACTTCTCCCAAGCGAGAAGGGATAGCCCGATGAAAAGGAACCTCTGGAAGACGGGATAAACATATGGGGTGGGGGGAGAAGGAGGGCTCCAGGGAAATGCAGGTGTCACAGATGCCCAGTCCCTGCCCTGCCTCCCGTCCCGGCACATCTGGAAAGGGGGAGAAAGCACGAAGGGGGAGGGCAGAGCCTGAGTTCTGCGGCTGGCGGTGCCCCTGAGCCTCCCCTCCCCCCGCAAGGCCCCTCCTGCAGGAACTCAACACCCGCAACATCCCTTCCCGGTCCTGCGGCGTCGGGTCCGCCTGCCGCTCCCCCTCACCACTCGGAGCCGTGCGGAGGCCGGCGCCCCCCGCGACGTCACGCGTGGAGCAGCGAAGGGGCGGGGTCCGTGCTCCCCCCACCAACCCCCACCCACGCGGTGGGGATTCGCATGCGCGGTGTCTACGCGGGCAGCAGCCCGGCCCCTCCCAGGCCGGCTTGGGGGGTACCAAGAAGGAACCCAGTGAAGGGGCAACGGAGAGGAAACTACTCCGCGGTAGGTGAGTAAGAGGGAGAGAAGGCAAAGGAGCTGATTGTGGGGACGTTGTTAGAACTGTAAAGCCTCACTCCGGAGACACTGTGGGGCGTTTCAACGAGAATCGCGTCGCAGGCATTTTTCTGTTGCTCGTCCCCCTCCCGCGCCAATCGCACAGCCCGGCCGCGCCCAGGTTCCGGATCTGAGTTTGGGGTCCGCCTGGGGGCGGAACTCCAGCCCTGTGATTCTGGCCTTCCGGACTCTTTGAGCTCGGCTCTTCTCGGCAGCCCCAACGTCTGCACCTTATGCTTGGCCCCTGGTTTTAGTGAGTCCTTAATGCATAGGATCCTATAGCTGCCAGACTGTTCAATAGAGACCATCTCATTTCATTTCTGCCGTATTTTAGAGATGAGAACACCGACGTCCCCCTTACCTGAAATAGCAGGACGGATGGAGCCAAGAACCCGGGGTTCAAATCCTAACTTTGTGCCTCCTCTGCACAAGCCATAACCGTGCTCTTTTTGGGGGAGCTGAGTTTGTTAAAGGGGTTCAACCCACCTACCTCACTGGTTGGATGGGAAGCTTAAGAAACAAAGTGTGGGAAAACATGGGCCCAGTGTGCACTGAGCACAAAACCGCGCTGGACAAAAATGCTCTTTGAAACAAAATCTTAGTACTCAACTCTACTGAGGCTCCGTTAAGACAGAGACAAGGTCATTCCTGTACCACCCGCTCCGCAAAAGTTTATGGCCCCAAATCCTTTCCCATGTGGTAAAATGATATTCAACAAGGGTGCCAGGACCATTCCATGAGGTAAATCTACTCTTTTCAACGAACAGTATTGGGAAACCTGGATATTCACATGTGAAAGAATGAAGTTAAACCTTTACCTTATACACCATATACAGAAGTTAATTCATAATGCACCAAAGAACTACATGTAAGAGCTGAAAGTATAAAACTCTTAGAAGAAAACAGGAAAGCTTCATGACATTGGATTTGGCAATGATTTCTTGGGCATGACAGCCAAAGCACAGACAGCAAAAGAAAAAAGATAGGTAAGTTGGACTACATCAAAATTTAAAATTTCTGTGCGTCAAAGTACGCAACAGAGTGAAAAGGCAACCCATGGAATGGGAGGAAATATCTGCAAAGCATGTATCTGCTAAAGAGTAAATAATAATATAGAATAGGTAAAGAACTCTTACAATGTAACACAGGAACAAAAATCCTGGTTAAAAAATAGGCAAAGGACTTGAAGGTATTTCTCCAAAGATATACAAATGGCCAAGAGGCACATGAAGAGAAACTCAACATTACTAATCATTAGGGAAATGCAAATGAAAACCACAATTAGATACATCTCACAGCTATTGGATGGCTACTATTAAAAAAAAAAAAAGGAAAGTGTTAACAAGGCTGTGGAGAAATTAGAACCCTTTTGCATTGTGGGTGGGAACTTAAAATGGTACAACCACTAGGGAAAACAGAATGGTGGCTCTTCAGAAAATTAAAACTAGAATTATGAGAGGCACCTGGCTGGCTCAGTTGGTGGAGTGTGATTCCTGATCTCGGGGTTGTGAGTTTGAGTCCCACATTGGGTGTAGAGATTACTTAAAAAAAAAATCTTAAAAAAAATAGAATTACCATACTATCCAGCAATTCCACTTTGGGGTACATACCCCAAAGAATTGAAAGTAAAATCTCTAAAAAATATGTGTATACCCATGTTCATAGCAGCATTATTCACAAGAGCTAAAAGGTGGAAGCAACCCAAGGGTCCATGAAGAGATGAATGGATAGAGAAAATATGGTATATACATACAATGAAATATTATTCAGCCTTTAAAAGGAAGGAAATTCTTTTTTATATAAATATTTATTTATTTGACAGAGAGAGAGAGATCACAAGCAGGGGGCTGGGGGGGTGCAGAGGGAGAGGAAAAAGCAGGCTCTTGGGTGGAGCAGGGAGCCCAATGCAGGGCTGGATCCCAGGACCCCAGGATCATGACCTGAGCCACCCAGGCACCCCTAAAAGGAAGGAAATTCTGATACATACTATAACATGGATGAACCTTGAGGACATTTTACTAAGTGAAATAAGCCAATCACAAAAAGAGAAATACTAGGGACGCCTGGGTGGCTCAGTCGGTTAAGCGTCTGCCTTCAGCTCAGGTCATGATCCCAGGGTCCTGGGATCGAGTCCCGCATCGGGCTCCCTGCTCCACGGGGAGCCTGCTTCTGCCTCTGCCTCTGCCTCTCTCTCTCTCTATCTCTCATGAATAAATAAATAAAAAATCTTTAAAAAAAAAAAAGAGAAATACTATAAGATTTCACTGATAAGAGGTATAGAATAGTCAAATTCATAGAGACAGAAAGTAGAATGGTGGCTGCCAGGGGATGGGGGGTGTGGGGACAGGAATGGGGAGTTACTGTTTCATGGGTACAGAGTTTCAGTTTTGCAAGATGAAAAGAATTCTGGAGATGAATGATGGTAATGGTTGCACAAGGTGAATGTAATTAACACTACTGAATTTCTACACTTAAAAATGTACACATAGGGGCGCCTGGGTGGCTCAGTCGTTAAGCGGTGCCTTCGGCTCAGGTCATGATCCCAGGGTCCTGGGATCAAGTCTCAAATCGGGCTCCCTGCTCAGCGGGGAGCCTGCTTCTCCCTCTCCCACTCCCCCTGCTTGTGTTCCTGCTCTCGCTGTGTCTCTGTCAAATAAATAAAATCTTAAAAAAAAAAAAAGGTCTTTTCATAGTTTGAGCACAGTATTTACTCAATAAATATTTGTTGTTTAATGTATTGAAAACGACTTCTTACAGGCCAGTTTGCCAGGGCTTAGCAATTTTCAGTTTCATTTTAAAATTGGGAGCACACTGCCCATGCTGAATGTTTGTGAAATTTAGGTTAAAAGCTAAAAGAAAGTTTATTTGGTCGACAGTTATTTTTTAGTGCTACTAAAAATAGCGCTAAATTTTAGGACTACTATGGTCCAGGCACAAAATTAATATCCATATAGCAAAAGCTTTGTCAATGTTTCCACTTAATGACAAGTCTAATTTGTAGGGCAAGATAAGACATGAAAATGCCCAGTGTAGTGCTGGTACACAATAGGAAGTCAACAAATGTGAGTTTCCCTTCATTATTCTTGTGCTACAGAGTAATTAGGCATATTTGGAGAGCAGTTCTTGTAAATGACCACAATTGATATTTACTTATGTAGCCCAATGAACAAATTCTACGGACCACTAGAGACAAACTGGTTAGAGCAAGGAACTGCCTGAAGGCCTGGAAATCAGGGTAAATGGATGTAAATAAATGTCTTATATAGAAAAAAAAAAGTTGGGGTGGGGAGGAGCACAAGAGGACACAAAATTGTTGGTGCATTGTAATCCGCCAGCATTATACCAATGTTCTGACTTGGTAATCCACTCATCAGGTCCTGAAGGTGGATGTTACTGGAGAAAACTGGTCCTAGGCAGCTTAAATAATTCAAACAAGGTCACACAGTAGTAGGAGGCAGAAGCTGGCTTATGATTCAAGCCTGACTACAAACAAATGTGAGAATGCAAATGTGAGAATCAGAAAGCCAATTGAGAAGCGAATCACCCAGTCTTTTGGAAGGAATTGGGAGAGGGGTTCCTCCATCACTCCACAATGATAGATTCTTCTAGGTGCCCTGGCCCAGGTAAAAGCTCTCAGGGATCTGTTTGATTTTTTTCCTTCTATATTATCAAGCTCTAAAACTCTTTGGAGTCACAGACCTCTGTGAAAATCTGATGAAAGCTTTTCATTCAGTCAGATATTCATTCAATAAACATCTCTGAGCTACCAGGCAGTATTCTGCGAGCTGGGAATACAATGGTGGACAAAGTATTCAGGATCCCTAGCCTTCTGGAAAGTAAAATCTGCCTACGGACCTTCTCCATGGAAAAAGGCACTTTTGCCTGAATGTTTATATACAGTTTCAATCAGCAGAACCTTAGTCACCTTGGAGCCTATCCTTGGACAAGAGCCCCTACATATTGCATAAGGTTCCTTCAATTGGACTTCAATTTTGTGTTTAGTTTCATATCAGGACTTCTTGACAAAGTTAGTCTTTTTCCTTTTACTTCTTGGTTTTATCCTGTGTTATTCATCTATTCAATCAACTCATTCATTCATTCAACAAACACTTGAACACTTGTTTAATGCCAGGCACTTGGTTAGGCACTGAGGGAAGCCACATTTCCTACCAATGAAAAGCCTTAGTGAAAGAGACAGATGCACAAAAAATTATGATAAAATGTCAAATACCATAATAGATAGATGATACCATAATATAAAAAAACAACAACTACTCTCTTCTGAATAACGTCTAAATGGGTCAAATATTTAATGGCCCTCAAATGTCGTCTTATCAATAACAAAACCAAATCAGCATTATCCCTACTTTACAAGTGAGAAAACCAAGGCTTAGCAATGTTAGGAAACTTGCCCATGATTTTCAACTAGTCAACAGCTATATGTAATACACACATATCAAGCACACACATGCACACACACATACACATGATACAAATATTGAGAAAAAAAAAGAATATGTTTGCAAACCTGGAATAAGATACCTTCTAATGCAAGACATAAATACCAGAAGCCGTAAATGAAAAAATGGATCAACTTAACATTTAAAATTAAAAGCCTCTACAGTAATCTCTTGGACATTGGCCTTAGCAACATATTTATGGATATGTCTCCTCAGGCAAAAGAAACAAAAGCAAAAATAAACTATTGGGACTATACCAAAATAAAA